GTTTAAACATTTAGGGTTATTTTGTAAACTTAATTTTTTCTGGATGTGTACTTTTTAATTAAAAAAGGAATTATTTTAATCAATAAACTTGAAGTAATGATTTTTCTCTGGCTTGCAGAATCACAAACGTTAACTTCGCACTGGCAGGATATATTTTTTAAAAAAATGTCAAATCTGATGATCATGACCTGAGGCCTAATAATAATAATAATAAATCCACGCTTTCCTCATAAATTATTCTTCGAAAATCTAATCCTATCTCCATTTTGATTCTCTTTTTCAGGCGAACACTATTTCGCGGACGTAGTCGTAGAATCAAAGAACCCAAAAAAGGACCCAATCCGGGTCGTGGTCGAGCCCAACTTCAGAGCAGAGTTCGAGATGGCTCGAGCGAACGCCGAGTACAACACCCTCGTCCGCAAACTCCCCGAGATCTTCGTCGGCAAGTCCGAGGGACTCCGTCACGTGATCAAAATAGTGTGCGGGGCAGCGAAGAAGTGCATGAAGGATAATAAGATGCACATGGCACCGTGGAGGAAGCACAAGTACATGCTCTCCAAATGGCTCGGCACGTGCGAGAGGGTCACGCCGGGCGCTTCGACGACGGCGATGGTTTTGGAGAGGTCGGCGTCGGGGTCTCCAGCGTCGAGGCCGAGGGCTTCGATGCTGACGTTTGATCTGCGTTGCACAGCTGTGAAGGTCATGTGAGGTTGGTGGGAGTAAGAGAAGTAGTATATGTCTTCTTGCAATTTTGGTATGGGTTTATGTGAATGATTGTGTTGGGAACTTGGATTTGTGTTGGCGGAGATGTAGTATTGTAATTAGCATAGAGTGGCCATTCCTGTTGTAAGTATGAGATTAGCTATAACAAGGGAAGTAAGAAGGTTTAGTTGCCAACGTGTTCTTTTTGTTTGAGAATTCCTTTCACCGATATTACTGCTGTGTGTCACAGGACTACCCCTTGGTACTCTAGACGTACACCGATGAAAGAAGAAGTGATTTCTTGGTTATAATTAATTATTAACGACTTCTATCTTTATTTTACTTGGAACTGATAGATATTTTTAGGAAAATGATTTAAGGACCCAAAATATGGGACCAATGGAAGGGACATGTGAGGTGTCCCTTCCTTATTGCATAATGAGTTGGCCATGCCAACTCATGCCAACTCATTATGCAATAGGGAGGGGACACCTCACATGTCCCCTCCCTTGGTCCCATATTTTGGGTCCCCGTAGCAGCACTCATATTTTTAATAATCTAGTGGGCACAAGGCCCCGTCTAAGTTCACGATGTGCTCGGATGGGTTTATCGATCTCACGAAACTAGCCGTCTTGGCCCACACATCAAACCTGATTAAATCAGTCCTGCGAGAAAAGAATCCCGCGCTTCAGAGAAAATTAACAAAAAGAAGATAGAATACTACACGTGTCAAATTTTATAGAGTGACGTTACGATTCTGTTTGGTGTGTTCTTGACGTGATAGATATCCAGTCTATCAGTTATGATTTAAATGTGTCAAATTTTATAGAGTAACATTACGATTCTGTTTGTTGTGTTCTTGACGTGATAGATATCCAGACTATCAGTTATGATTTAAATATGTTAATGATCAAAATGGTAGATGGTTACGGAAACCAAATGTAATGTGCATGTGGATTGAATAAGAAACGTCAACATGCTACATCTATACCATTTTTTTATGGGAAAATTTGCAAAATAGACCGTTTTTACAAAATAATTAGCGAAATAGACCGTTTTTGAAAGTAATTAGCAAAATAGACCGTTTTTTGGGAAAAGAGGTCGATTTTGAAAAATGGTTCAGGAAACATACGGGACTACTAGTCCCGTATGTTTAAAGTTAACTAATTTTGTGTTAACAAAACGTACGGGACTAGTAGTCCCGTACGTTTTAAGTGGCAAATACTAAACTTTTTTTTTTGTATATCATTTTCCCCCATCCCCATCATCATGTGACCATCCCCAGAGCACTCTCGCTCGCTCGCTCCCACTGAAAAAAATCCATGGCGTTGGCGTCCCTCTCTCTCCTCCTCCTCCTCCTCCTCCCCCTCTCAGCCCCCAAAACGTTCCCCTCCGACGTCGAAGCCCTCGAATCCCTCCTCCTCTCCCGTGTAATCTCCCGGGCCTTCTCATTCTCCAACGGCTCCCTTGCCTATCCTCCTGGCGCTTCTCCTCGCCGACCCCGCGACTCCTCTCCTCCTCCCTCTTACCTTCGGCCTCCGTCTGCCAGTGTCCCCGCCTCCGCCGCCGCAGGCGCCGGGACAACTTCTTTCCCGCGTCGCCGAGATCGCCCTCGACCTCGAGGTCCCTCGCAGCGGTCCCGAGCTCCACGTGGCGCAACAACCTCACCGTCGAAATCCCCGACCACTCGCTGGTCTCCCTCAACTACTTCGACGCCAGCGATAAACCTGCTCACCGGCGGTTTCCCGGCTGGTTTCCCGCCGTCGCTGGTGGAGATCTCGCTGAGGGTCGATATGGGCTACTCTCAAAACGTACGGGACTACTAGTCCCGTACGTTTTGTTAACACAAAATTAGTTAACATTAAACATACGGGACTAGTAGTCCCGTATGTTTTCTGAACCATTTTTCAAAATCGACCTCTTTTCCCAAAAAACGGTCTATTTTGCTAATTACTTTCAAAAACGGTCTATTTCGCTAATTATTTTGTAAAAATGGTCTATTTTGCAAATTTTCCCTTTTTTTATTGATAAAATGATTCGCATAACTCACCCAATTCACTCGTGGCCGATATTAGGGGCTCATACCCAACGATTGCTGCTGAGAGCCTAATCCATAACCTGGTTTGGAACCAAACAAATCCATTTTGTAATCCGATGGCGGTAGGCATCTCATCTCACGAAGCTTGGGAAAGCGATGTCGGAATTATCAATTAATTTGGAAACGGACGACAATTTGCCTAGAGACACAAAATGACGGATACGACAAAGTTAAATATTTTATATAGAAAATTAAAGAAGAGTCCGTATCCTCTATCAAGCTGCTCCTAATTGCAAGCTCAGCTTATGAGTCTGCTATGACTCAGGGGCGGACCCTTTCTTATCCAAGTGAGCGAAGTTAATAATTGCCAACAACTTTCCTTGAACCATACACTATTTTGATGGATTTGAATTATTAAAAAAACAGTAACTATTTCCACCCATCCATTGTTTAGTAGATAACTATAGAGAATTACGATTCATTCAAAATATAAATCATGCCATTTCAATTAATCATTTATATTAGTTTTATAGTATATATCACACACGCTAACCCTGTCACTGCAAGTAATCATCCATCGAGATTTTATGTAGATCAATATAATATGTATTTATAATTAGTATAAAAGAGGGTAAATTTCAAAATTTCCTAGGAAGTTTGGTACATATTGAGATAGCACACAAAAGTTTGAAAACATTACATTGCATGTCCCTGAAAACTTTTGAGTTTTTCCAAACCTAGTTTTCGGTAACCTCTAATTTTTTGGGAGTTACCCTCTGTTTGGGTGGAAAATTAATTTCTTTGATGAGTTCATTACAGCTTCAAACACTTATAATAAACTCAGAAAAATAGTCTTTTTATAAGACTTTTAAATCAAAAGTTACAATTTTCTCTCAAACTACACGCAATAGAAGTTTATCGTCTATTGCTTGTGCGGGATTGTTGCCGGTACCGGGGTTTATCCGTGGACCGCCTACGGATCAGATCCGATTAGCAGAAGTTGGATGATCAATGCTCTCGCTTCACGAAGGAAGTGATTGCAACAGCGGTGATTTTGACTAAGCAAAATCACCG